AAGATCCATTTCTTGTGATTAGATTCATCTTGCTCTTTCACCAAGCTTCCTTTCTTTTCAATGATCCTGCAAAACATTCAAATGCAATCTTATTACATCATGTATTAAGAATCAATGAATAGGAACTTAACGGAGTTAGATAGTGGATTTTACCTGAAGCGTAGTCATACTCTTTGACTCTCCCATCTTTGGAATTTTCAGGCTCTTGGGGCAGACTTCTATCCAACGCCCTTTCTCTTGGCAGCAAACGCAGGTCGGTTCTCCTAGAACGTCCTCGGAAGCATGGTCGGTTGACTTTCCCAACAAATATTGCTCCATTGATTCAAGATTAGGTTAATGAGGTTGTCGTCATGATCTATCATATAATACTTTCTTTTGAACTCATTATATGATTCAGGAAGTGACTGCAAAACCCAATTTACAGCCAACTCATCGAGAAATGACACACCCAACATAATCAACCCATCGATGTGTGATTTCATTCCTAGAATGTGGGCACACACGGATTTACCATCTTCATGTTTCATTTCCAATGGGGCCTTAGTGATATTGAACCTTTCAATTCTTCGATCTTGTGGGTTAGGGAGAACAATTGGAGGAGGTGGAGGAAGTGAAGCATGATTTCTTGTTCCTCGATCGAATCGTGGAATACCATCTTCATGTGGAATGCTTGTTCCACAGGATTTGGGAAGACCATGGTTGTCGAACTTTGACATCTACAAACGGGAGAAAACAAATTCAAGTTAGTTGATCGATTGAGTCCTTAGTAAATCACCCAAATGAGATACTAAGGCTAGGACCCAACACAATACACTACAACCTAGAAAAGGGATGTCGTAATCTAGTTGCAGAATATTTGAAGGTAAGTGAATGACGATTCACTAATTTCCACCATGAAAAACGAAAAAGAAATTTAAGTTTTAAATCTATGAAAACTCCTAGATCCTTTGAGATTCATTGAACATTTCAATGGCATGTTTAAATCTCGATATGCCCCTCTTGTTTGTGACTGGGATGCCGAGGATCACAAAGCGGGTGTGAATAACCATGCAAACTTACATGGTGCCCTCACATGTTACAGTCACCTATTCGATGTGCCGGTAAACCACACACGCTCCACCGAACTATGACAAACATTGAGTCACCCTTGCTACCTTTGCTTAGAACCATTTAGTGTGTCGGTAAACCACACACGCTCCACTAACGTCTTCGCAAGGGCACAAAGTGTAATTTCATGGAATTGCATCAATTCACATTGCCTAAGTAACTAAGATTGGGAATTTGTAAAAACATTTAGTTACTTTTGTATTTCATTATACTTATAATGGAAGGTTTCGTCCTATCCTACCCGTTCGGCTAACGACCCTCCACTAGTCAAGAGTGCGGTGGGTAAGAGTGGATACCCATTCAATCGCTATTTTATAGGCAATTTCCTTAAACACCCCTTATAGACCAACTTCGTGAATGAGGCCTACTAACAGTAATACTGACTTTTACTCATACATATATATATATATATATATATATATATATATATATATATATATATATATAATGTTAGACTTTTAATGTTATATATAGTATATGGTGTATTTTGCACTTTTAAAATACTAGGTGGTCAAATTTAACAATTATACTTTTAATTCAATTAAATTGTAAACCTAAACTTTTATGGATTTATTAAACCTCTTTTAATTATACACCTTAATTAATTAATAAAACCATAAGGGTGTGAATTGAACTTTTCAAAAAATTACTAGGGTTTTAGAATTTAATATTCCTAATTAAACTTTTAATCAACTTTTAAATTCAAAAACTTGAGGGCAAGTTTTGAAACATTTCAAAACATTAGGGTTTAGAATTGAAATATACATCACAATTAAACTGTTAATCAAAATTTAAATTCAAAAACTTGAGGGCAAGTTTTGAAACCTTTTTCAAAACATTAGGGTTATAACTATTTAAATTTCAAAACAACAAAACTTTTGGGTTCAAATTTAAACTATAAAACCTAAAGGGGAAAATATGAAACTTTTCATAACAACAAGGATCAAATAACAAATAATTTAAATTAACATTTAATCATATAATTATCCATATTTGATTTATTTAATGATTTCTTGCAAAACAATTTATCAATTTACTCAAAATAATTAATCAATTATCATATAAGGAAACAATTATCTTATTAATTGATAAATATCTTCAATTAGATCAAAATTATAGTTAAATATATCAAATAATCGGATTAATATTGATCTAACATGATAAGGTAACTATCCATAAGCAAAAACAGCAAGAAAACCCGAGATTCCCTCGTTCTGACGAGCTGACTCGTCGAGTCTGCATGGACTCGGCAAGTTCAGCTATGGACTCGGCGAGTCCAGCCTCCAAAACACCAAAAAACGAATTTTTTTGAACATGTAATGCATCAATACAATTGAAACCTAGCTAGGCTCTGATACCACTGATGGGTTTTGGTCATAAGACATCCTATGTGCTCATACAAACCCTAAAGCTTGGATCTAGGTTTCTCTATTGTACATGCTTTGAATCCAAGACTATAAACCCTAATTCTAGCATATGGAAATCGATATTAACATATAATTAGGTTTAAGATATTACCTTGATTGTTATGTAGCAATAACAATCCTAAATCCTCCTTGAATTGACTTTGGAAGGCTTAGAGTCACAAGTGTCACTCCTCTAATGGCTTACAAACACCATAAGCAAGAGGATGAAGAGGAGAGAGGTTGGAGGCTACCAAAAACGTGTAGAAACCCTAACAAGAAGCTTAGCCACGTTTTTGAGCCTTAAGGGGTCTTTATATAGTTGGGCTATTAGGGTTATCTAACAAGGAAACCCTAATTTGGATGCTTAAGCCCTAAGCAACCCATAGACTCCCTTTAATCAAGCCCTTGGACGATTTCCTTATGGGCTTCCCCATAGAATTCGTCCAACCCTTGATACAAGGCAATCCATGGCCCAAATTGCAATTATCTTATAATTACAATTCCAGTCCCTTAAGTTTAATTAATCTCTTTTAGTCACAAAACTAATTACCAATTAATTATTGACTAATATTAATTAAACAATATGATTTCTCCTTTAATATATTATTCTCATAATATATTAATAAACCATATTTAATCCTTTCTCTCCATAATTCATCCTATCAAGTTGCTTTGGTGAAGGCAACCCAAAAGGACCATGCACCATCGGGTCAAGTACATACCAAAATAGTTATGGACTTAGACACTAATCCAACAGTATTTGTTATGAAATACGTGCTATGTGTTTATATGTTGTTTGTTTACTTGAGATGGTTGTTGAATGAATGTTTTATACATATTTTTAAATGATTTAAACTATTGATGTAATTTCTATCTACAAATATGTTGGGTAGAACATAGGTAGATGAATTAGTTGGTGTGTGAGGAAAGATTAGTTTGAGGATGAGATGAAAGATGATATAGATCATGAGACGAGAGTGACAGGTGAAAAATGAGTGAAACCTTTACCCAAACGATGGCCCCCGTCATTCAGCAGAGTAGGGATGACAACCACAGACTATTCTAGACAGTCCTGTGGAACACTAGCAGGCTCGCAACTTGTAGGTGTTGTGGACTTGATGTTCACCGGTGTACTCTAAAAACCCATTGATATGTATTGCTAGAGGATGTATCGGAACCAATACTATTAATAAACGATATAAACCCCAGCGACTATGGAGTTAGCGACAGTTAAGTGAACCTTGGTGACTATGGAGTTAGCGCCTATTACATAAACCTTGATGACTATGGAGGTGACTATGGAGTTAGCGCCTGTTACATAAACCTTGGTGACTATCGAGTTAGCACCTGTTACATACACCTTGGTGACTATGGAATTAGCGTCTGTTACATAAACCTTGGTGATTATGTAGTTAGCGCCTATTACATAAACCTTGGTGACTATGGAGTTAGCGCCTGATAGTTATGGATTTAGTACCTGATAGATAAACTTTGGCAACAACTGACTTGTGCCAATTCCTTAGGTAAATCCTTAGGAATGAATGAAGGAAGGATAGTCTATTCTTAGGGTAAAACCTTAAGAAATAAAGAAGATAATGGGGATGGGTAATTAGGTTGATTGTTTGATGATTGAATATAATAAATATATTATTATGGGTTGAAAACCCTATATGCTCACCAGACTCCCAAGCCTGACCCACTCAGTTTTCTTTGCATTACAGGTAATGGCACAAGAGTTTAAGTTGGTGGACTTGATGAGAGATTTTGGGTTATAGATCAGTAGTTATAAACAACTGTTGTAAAGTCTATTTTATAATTTTTATGCTTTTGGTATCTATCGGAACATGACATCCTGAGATTTTGTTAATTAATGAAAATACATTTCAATAAAGAAATGCATTGATAAATTCTTATCTTATTTTATTTTGGGAACAAATTCCGCAACTGTTTTTTGTAAACGATTACTCTGATTTTAAAACAAAGCATAAACAAATCGGTCTTTTCTAGCCGTGAAAAATGGGGATGTCGCATTAGCTCCTTGAAAACAACAATAGAACTTGCTAAAATATTTCTTTCCATATGGACCATCCTCCATCTCTAGTTTCATAGTTGACCCAGGATTTGTCCTTAAAATCTCATGACCATATGACCATAGTTTACCATAATGTTCAACAAGGCTACCTTCAACAAGCTTTAGTGCATACTTCTTTGCTCTTCTACATTGCCCCATACTAACTTGGATACCAAACTTGGCCATTACCTTCAACCTAAGCTTCCTTACACTTATTTTCTGACTTTGTACAATCTCTTTGGTATATTGACTCCCAATCCATGCATATGTCACCAATGATCCAAACTTGAAGTTCCTAGCACAATTATGATCAACTTTTAGTGACTTGATTTTGGAAACTCTCTTCATCACTCATCCAAGAAGCCCATAATCTAAATGTGCAAGCACCCTTGCTACACCTCACCAAAAGTCTTGTCCTATAATTTTTTTTTTTCAAAACACAGTTGATACCCATTAGCTACAGCATAGTTACACAACATTGATTTTACTTGCCTTGGACCCTTAAATCTCATCCCTATAATTGATTTTTGTTTTTTCCAGTGTAATAGCTCATTAAATATGGAATGAGTTTGAATGTTAAGTTCAACTACTCTCCCATTGTCATCATCTACAATGTAGTTATCCTCTTCATCATCAACACATAACTTACTCAAGAAGGGATCATTTGATGTCCTATTCATATGCATTATATCCTCATTAATTTCAAAGGCAACCTTCTTAAGCTCATCTATGTTATCTTCATTTTCACCATCAATACAAGTCTCATGTTCATCATCATCATTATCTTCATCATCAAGCCACCCATCAACACCAACCCCAATATGATCCACATAAACCGAAATTACACCATCTGTTCCATAAGCATCAAAAATAAAAGCAACATATTCCACATCATTTGAAATGGGATTAAGCCTTTCCATCAGGGAATTGCCTAGTTCACAGTAGTAAAACTTTTTACACTCTTCATGCATGAAACGTTCGTAGAAGGTCACAAACTCATAATAAATCATAGAAGAAAAGTCAACATCAGTGAACATGGTTTTCACACCACCAGTGTAAGAGAAAGGATTTCGATTAAATACCCCTTGGTAGTTGAGTTCCACCATTGCAAACAATCCATTAGGTTCCGATTCTATCATTGTTGCGACTTCTTTGTTTCTTCAGCTCGATCACATGAATGCTTCATAAACCCTAACTCGGTTTCTTTTACAGCTCAATAATGAAAACGACTGAAGTTCGATAGTTGAAGACGATAAGATTTAAGCTTCATATATCATTAATTGACGTGGCATATCTCACGTGGCAGTGGATTAGACAAAAAAATATATTAATTCACATATATAAAAGGTCAACCAGGAAACCTTCTAAAACTTGATATGATTGTGTAATTAAAAGGTCACTTACGAGTTTACTGACCTAATGTACCAAAAAAAACGTGAAGGACCAAATTAGCCAATTGAATAAAATTTCATGTGCTACAGTGACATTATCCCTGAAAAAATTTATATATAATTGCTACAAAGCATTTTATAAGGCCTAATTTCACACAACGAGTCTTTTATACGTTATTTCAATAATTATTATGTATTTATTTTTTACTAATTGTATATTTATAAATTCCTTTTTTGGTGAAATAAATTGGTAGGCTTTTTATAACGTCCCTCTTATATATATATATATATATATATATATATATATATATATATATATATATATATATATATATATATATATATATATATATATATATATAGAGAGAGAGAGAGAGAGAGAGAGAGAGAGAGAGAAAGTATACATTTGAAAGTATATTGTATTTCATGTACAATACACCTCTACTTGGACAATTTACATTCGGTTTTTACGGTAACCATCACTGTCATATATTTACATGAAATGATAAGAAAGGTTCCATTATATGTCATAAAAAAATTCTAAAATTGTAAGATGTTATTAATTATACATTTACATGTGACACAAATATATATATATATATATATATATATATATATATATATATATATATATGTATATATATATATATGTATATATATATAATTAATATAAAAGTCTAAACAAAATTTATATCTAATAAAATTTTATAAATCTTTTACTCGTGGTTTCCACGGATTATAACCTAGTTTAAAATAAATATTTAGTAAAGTGAATCATACTGTGTAGTACTTTTTTTTATAAACAGCTACTTTATAACCTATGGGACCACGATTAGAAAATTAGTTAAACTTTCATAATAAAAACTCAAAATTATTAATCAGTTATTTTAAATAAATTATTAATTAACATCTATTTTTTAATTATATAAAGTTATAATCATTGATTTAAATAAATACATAGAATTATATCATCTATAATCTGAATAAATTTTAATTTAATTGTATTCTAATGTTATTAGTATAATGTAATTAGAGTGAGAAATTAAAAGTTGAAATTTGAAATGGAGAATCAATAAGTTGACAAATAACATAACATTAATTAAGAGACCTAATAGAATGCCAAATGACAAAAAAAGAATAAACCTATTTTTTTATTAGAATAAAAATGTGTCGTTTCAATGTTGAAAGGATATTAGATTCAAACATCATATCTCTATTTTGAAGATTTATAATCATAGATGATTGTCGAGGTGGTGGTATTTAACTTGGAAATTGATCATGCTAGGATATAAAATAAGCTAAATAATTTTTATTAATACAATATTTTTATTAATCTTTGCAACTAAAATAATATAAACTTTGGCTAGTATAAATTAAATACTTTTTTGAATAAATTACACGAATGGTCCCTATGATGTTGGATAATTTGTATGTTTGATCATTAACTTTTTTTAATTTGAACATTCCACATTGTTTGTTTTTGTTGTGCCCTTAGTTCCTGTCAGACCTAAAAAGACTATATTGCCCCTTTTTTATTTATTAATAATTATTTTAGAAAGTTATATAGACCCATTCCCCATTCCATTTTATCCATTTCATTCTCTTCTTTAACGAGAAATCACATGCTTTTACCTTTCCTCTATTATTGTAACGCCTGGTTTTCGGTATGAACTTATCTATCCAATTGTTTAAATTTCCTTTTTGAACTCAACGTGTTGGAAGCCTCAACACGACATGTCATGATGACTTTGGCCGCAGAGATTAATGAACCAACACAGTGATTCGAGGTGCCTCAACTCGGCGTGTTGACAGCTGGGAAGGAAGCCCTAATTTTTAGGGTGTTGCGCCCTATTTAAAGGCCTTAAGGCCCTTGGATGGCCTCCTTCCCAGCCTCTTCTGTCCATAAACCCTAAAATCGAGCATAATCTTCCATTGATTGAGTGTGTATGCTTGTGGAGAGCCTTGAGTGTTCATTGTTGGTGCATTTTGAAGGAGCTAACGAATTAGGAGTTGCTTGGCTTGAAGAAGAAGTCTTGGATCCATAATCACTATCTCAGATGCCAAGTTTTTAAGGTATCAAGGTCTCACATTGCATATTAGTTGCTTGGATCTCTTCCTGGGTTAGATTGTATGCTTTTAGCCATGGTTAGGTGGATGATGGGGGAGTAGGATGTCCCAAATGTTTATTCTTTAAGATCTAAGATCTACATGAACTCCATTGGCATAAAAGTGCCCATTTTATGGTCTTAAGGACTTCATGCATTCATTAAGTCCTTCTTTTGGCTTCTTTTGAGCATTAGAGCCTCTCCTCATGCATGAGCGTAAAGTTTGAAACTTTATATGGCCATTCAGCTTTAAAGGACCAAATTTGCATTTTGGGGCTATGTCTTTGGTGATTAAGAGCTTAATGATTAATCCCTCACCATTTTAAGCCTACGGTTTGGGTTTTGAACCCATTTTGGTGATTCCTAGGGGTAAAGTTGGACACTTTACCCTTATAGATGTCATTTTAGTGGACATCTGAGTTTTGAAGCTCTTAGATTTGATAATGTCAACTTAATGTATAAATATGTTGGGTTTATGGAGAACTCGGCGTGTTTATTGATAAACACGGCAAGTTTCATGGAGAAACACAACGAGTTGAAGGACAACTCGGAGTGTTGGGTCAACTCGGGCCATTGACTATGACTTTTGACTTTAATCTTTGACTAATTTTGACCTATAAGGGGCTTTGGGGCATTTTGAGTTGTATTTAAGAAATTATTTCTATTTAGGGGTTAAGTAGAGCCGATATTCGGAGCAAGGACCTATTCAACTATCGTCCTATATTTGAGGTGAGTTTCCTCACTGTGTTTCGTGGGTCGAAGGCAACAATGTTTCCCCATGTTCATGCTATGTTAGTATGCTAGATGTTTTCATGACTCTTGCATGTGTATGTGTTTATATGCTTTTTGAGCTAAGGTCTGATGTCGGGTGAGGACCGATAACTGTTTGTATGTTATGTATCTATGTTGCATGTGTTTGTGTTTATTTGATATACGTTATATGCATGTTGGGCGGGGCCCGATTTACTACCGATCTCAGCTCGACGACCGGGCGGGGCCCACTATATGTTTACTGTATGTATAGTATATGGTAGTGTAGGGGAACTCACTAAGCTTTCAGGTACTTTCAGTTCCAATGGGAAGAGCTCGAGTTGAGTGCATCACACACACTACTGGAGTTTCGCATCTGACATTCACTCTGATTTTGATAACACTTGATGTATTGGTTTTGTTGTGATGAATGTTTGACATTTGAAAATTTATTTTATCAATTATAAGATAATAAAATTTTTGGGACCATATTTTTGATATGGTTCAGTTATTTTCATCTTGAATCTAAATCACTAACTCATCAATATGTATCATCACTTCCATATCAAGAATTCTTTCATAACTTTTACATGCCATATTAGTAGATTTATCTTTAGGAATCATTTAATCTGGTGGTCAAACCCAATCCTCCAAAAAAGAAATCTGAAAATGCGAATGATAGTGGTGATAGAATGAAAACATGTGGCCAGTGATATGAATCTTTGTGTATGGGTTCAATATTCATGAAACTTAAATTATATGCTTCGGATGAATCAAATTACCGGAGAAGGTGTTGTTTTTGTTTCTGGATAGATCGTATTTAAATTCTCGTAGATGCATGTATGTAGAGTCGACTCTGTTCCAAGTCTTTTTGTTGACACTATGAGAGATTGAAGGGTTTACCATCTGATAAGATTTAAGGGGAAAATGTGTGATGATGTTGTTAGATCCTATGATTTCAATAATGTAAAGGATAATGCCCTTTGATTACGTTAAATTCCATGATTTCAATTTTGTGGAGTCAATTTGATTTTATTGAGGATCACTTCAATGGTGTTGACACAACAGTTCTTGTGGAACGGGCATAGAGAAGATGGTGAGGGAGGGTGGAAGTAGAGTTGCATGGTGAGACCTATTGGATAAAAATAATAATTTATAAGACATAAATAAATTTAAAAAAGAAATAAATCCAATAAGGATAAAATAGTATTTTTTATGTTCTGTAGGAATTAAGTATGCAAAAAAAAAAAAAAAAAAAGAGAGAGAGAGAGAGAGAGAGAGAGAGAGAGAGTTAATGTCATTCTAACCCAACCAATTTTTTAGTTGTCACAACTAGAAATTTTGTGTCTTGTAATCACTATACTCAAGTAAATGTTGAATTCAAAAACTCAAGAGCATGTATGATGCTTACTCAATGGAAACACTAAAGCTCAATTCACTACATCAAGCAATTGGAAACCCTAGAAGTTCTTGATTAGGTCCATTTTGGACTAGGACTTCCTTATTGGACTCTATGGACCAATAAGCTTCCAATTTAACTATCATGGGCTTAGAACCCTTAAATGGGCTCTAATTGGACCCACATTAATTTAATTCAACATTTTGGGTCATTTTGGGCCTAGAATGAAATAAATTCAAAGTTTTGCACTATGATTAACCTAAACTAGCCTAACATAGTGTGAAAATCATATTGTATTTTTTTTTAGGTTAAAACTCATCCAACCTAACTTATACATGGGCTTGAGGGCATTAAAGCCCAAATTTTTCCTTTTCTTCCAAATTCTCGGCCCAAGGCCCAAATCCAAGATGAATGAAGAGGTTTGACTTTCATTGCCACCTCTTTATTCTCTCATGGATCTCCATGCACAAACACATGTTTCCATGCACATATCA